GTGTCTCCAGTGTTGTGCCCCGTAGGGCTATGGGTCAGTGAGGGATGTCGTGTCTTGGAGTGGGGCTGGACATATGGTCCTCTCTGTGCGTTGGCTGTTCTGAGTAGAGATAGCATCCTCAAGGCTTGGTGGTCCAGGATGTGCTCCACTCTCTCTTCCTCCCCCTTCATGTGCTACCTTTTGCTCTGATCAGACATGTCCCTCTCCCTGAGCTATAGCTTCAGTGCTGTCCTCTGAAGTAAATTCTTCTTTTTTTGGGGGGTGGGGTGCTGTCCATGTATTTAGGATTGGGGCCAACCCCTCAGACCGCTCTCTTGGGAACTCTTTCTTCATTGGCTTTTACTTGCTTTACTCTGCAGAATTTCTTTTCTACTGCCTGTTATTATAATGGTGCTTTATTGAAATGTATATATTTCAATGAGGCAGTAAAATGTTAATGTTAAAGCTTAAAATAACAGTAATAACTATAAAATTGTTTTGTCTATTAAAGGACAAAACAAGTCACACACCCACACACACAAACAGAGGTTTCTAACTCTCCACTATCCTTGCAGGAAGCGGCATCTATGCACCAGATTCTCCAAAAGCGTTTCATTATGACATGAAAACAGAGGAGGGAAAACTCCTCCTCTCCCAACTGGATTCCCACCCTCAGCACCCTGTGGTGAATTGGTCTTCTCATGCTAGCAGTGTGAAAGCACACTCCTCAGGAAATCAGGAATTTACGGGCATTGTCTTTTTTGATGAATACACCTTCGTGGAGCTTCTGGGAGCCACAGGAAATTATACAGTTTGCCACAGAGACCTCTGCTGTCATCTGAGTTACAAGATGTCTGAGAAGAGATCAGATGAGCTTTATGTCCTAGGGGCATTTGATGGCCTGCACACTGTTGAAGGAACCTACTATCTACAGGTGAGGCTTGGCTTGATGGCAGGAGAGTGGTCAGAACAAACACAAGACATACAATTGAATTAGAATTTCACTCAAATGGCATTTTCAAATATTGGGACAAAGTTATGCGGCAAATTTATTTACTGTTCATCCAAAACTCAAATTTACCTGGGTATCTTGTATTTTTATTTGCTCATGAACCCTGGTGGCGTAGTGGGTTACACAAGGGGCTGCTAACCCCAAGACAAAGCTGAAGGAGGCTGGGAATAGGTTTGGAGTGGTAGACGCTGTAAAAAAATTTTTTAAAGCACAAATTCATTGCTACTGAGTCAATTCTAAACCAACAAGGCAGAGTAGAACTGCCCTGTGGGTTTCTGAGACTGTAACTCTACAGGAGTAGACAGTCTCATCTTTCTTCCTCTGAGTGGCTGCTAAGAGTTTGAACTGCTGACTTTGTGGTTAACAGCCCAATGCATAACCACTACACCACAAAGATTGGATACTGCATAGATGAAGCTAAATGGATACAGATGGTCCTTTGTGGGTCTTTGCATTTACATGGCAAGATGACTCGAGTTTAGATTTTACCATTCTTTCATTCCAGCTGTTAGATAGTACAGTAGACGATACAGTAGCCCCCTCAGGTGGGGCTA